GTGTGTGTGTGTGTGTGTATATATATATATATATATATATATATATATATATATATATATATATATATATATATATATATATATATATATATATATAGGGCTGTCAAGGACATTGAATTATTATTCATGTGGCTGATATAATTTAATAATAGAATAGAGTTGATATAAAAATAAAATAGTGTAAACATATAAATAATATATACAATAAAATTAAACATGAAATATAAAATAATATAACAAGACATAAAACAATATCTAATAAGAAATATTTCACCATTAAAAGTAAAGACTCTGACTTTAGGACCAAATCGTAATCACTAAATCACAAAGGAGTAATCATAATTGGGTATAATATATAAAGTTCAAAACTCTTCTCTCAAATTTTCAGTTATTTTTTAATTGAAATAACATATCATACACATATGTATATAGAACAACAATATAAAAGTAGGGCACAAACAAAGAACATAGAAGAGGTAATCTTTGGAATTACCACTACTACTACTTATTATCTTAATACATATAATTTCTCTTCTTCTTTATTCTTCAAATATAGAATTAATCAAAAGAATCACAAGTTGAAAAGAACAATGAAACAATAATGCAACTCCACTTGTTATGAATATAAATCTCAGTTAGAAAAAGATGAAATATAGTACAATCTTGTCCCAGCCTTTCTTTCCTTGGACAATCTTATCTATTTGTTATTTTTGATTAATTTTCATTCATTACATGGACTCACTAATCACCAAATGTCTCAAATAAAGACTGCATTTGGTTCATTGAAGAAGCAGCAGTAAAGCAAAACTCTTTTTCTATCATGAGGTGGATTGTGTTGGCCTCCCATTACCTTTGTATCATGAAAGAACAAGAATATTCTGAATCATGTGATCAATCCATGTGACACATTGGAAAGCTGCATCCCCTTCACACATGTTCAGACTTGTTGAGAAGGAAAGTGACATAATAGAACTCACAGAAAGGGGACTGAGATGGCATCAGAATAAGTTCCAAACAGCTGGTAATCATTGATCTCCTCGAGAATATTTCTTGAGATAATTATCATGGTTTCTTGAATGTAAATTGAAGCTTGGATATCTCCAAATTATGTTTGTCTAATCTATGTGAATCACACAAAAGAAGAAAGCAAAATAAGAAGAACAACAAGAATTGCACAAAGATATGAATCCTAATTTTGTAATCCTCCTTAGGTCACCAGTAATCACACACAACATGATCTGAAGCGAACACCATGATGAAGCCAAGAACCCATCCAAAATCCTGTCTTCTCCTTCTAAGTGCTTCGATACATCATGATATCTACAGATATATGGCGAAACGCATGGCTTCTCCCACCATTAGGTCGCCTAATTCCGCTGCATGGAGCTGCCCACGCGCTTCCATGTCGTCGGCGTGGCACGCGAGGCAAGACGCTGCCGCCAGCGGCGCACGCGCGAGGGCCAGCAGCATCGCCAGGCCTCCTCCCCACGGGCGTCGTCTCTCCGCCGCCGCCGCCGCTTCGACCTCGGGGGCGAGCGCCAGCGCCGCCTCGTCGAACACCCGCGCGCTGCGCTTCTTGGGCCATCTCAGCCTCCTCCTCATGGCGGACAGCAGCTGCAGCATGGCTCTGCGTGGAGACGATGAATTAGGTGGAAAGGTTAGAAGCAGCAGTGCATGGTTGGTTGGTTGTGGTGTCTTCTTCCACCTCTCAGCTTCTCTCTTCTATCGGGGAGTTTAAATAACAGGATGGTGGGGATTTGGCCACTCGCTGCTCTCCTTTTTCGCTTGTGGGACTTCGATGTCAGAAAGAACCTGTTTTGCACCGAGCAAAATTAGCATGCACACTACATGTCTAAGTAATTTCCTTCGGATGTAATCTACGTTGGATGTATACACTGAAGTGAGACTGCATGCTTCGGGTAATAAAGTGTTGGTTTGTTTTATCTCCTGCAGAAGCTGCTGACAGCTAATTTCCTTTAGTTCCTCCTACCATCAAATATACAACCCCATTCCATTCCCTTTTCTTTCAGCCAACAAAGATTGTCTTCTTCTTGTTGGATCCTACTAGAGAGAAGAACAAGGAACAGTCTATCACAGTGCTAACTTATTATGCTGTGACCTGTCACGTCTTCTTCAGAAAAGCTAGACAAATCTTTGCTGATGGAGAAGGGAATGGGGATGGAAGTAATACATGGAGGAGAGAGGTTGTTTTAGGCTCTTCAATTATAAATCAGGGAAGAAGAATGAAGAAAATATCTTCTGTGGTTGATTCAGTTTCCACTGTTTGACTTCCATGTTGGTAATGCAACTTCAGGTGGAGTGTCATCTTCACATATCAATATCTCATATGCTACTGGTAGATGCTCAATGTCAAAAGTCAGATGGCATTAGAATGTATGGTGAAGCACCTACCAAGCAAGAGGCAACTAGTGGTGTTTCCAAGGAAATGATGGAAAGCACTCGCCCTGAAACCAAGTGTAGACCACAAAACTTGTTGTAGTGGGGAGTGAGGGTGAAACAACAGCCTGAGTTTGACATGCTGCCAATGAAAAGAGCCAAACAATTGTAAACATAATCATGAAGAAGAAGACGAAAATTATCATTCCCATATCTTATTTCTGCAATATAACCACACGCTATGACAAAAATATATGATATGATTATAATCAAGAATAATTGTTTTTGTTTGAGATTCATGATTTGACATTCATGTGATATATGATTTGCTTATGATATACCTCCTCATGGATGTGATGTAATTTGATTTAATCTGACAACCATCTCTCTAACTCTTTTCTTGTTTTATCCACTTATGAGAATATGTAAATCTCATCTTCATCATTTATCCTTTAATTTTTTATGTGACTATTAGTTTTAATTGGAAGCAACCAAAAAAGCCTTCCACATGCAAAAGGTGGTTAATGAGTTGATTCACTGTGCCAATTAGGGGTCACGTCTAATACACATGATTTGTGATCTTGGAATCTGAGTGGACTCAGACGACTAGAGATAACGAGTCGAGCCGAGTCACTGAGCCACACGACTCACCGAGTTAGAAGGCCTCGAGATGAAGCACGTGTTCTATAGGATAGCTCGCATCATGAGTACATCAGCATGATGGTCCTCAACATTGCGTCGGCGATAAAAGCTTATATCAGAAGTGCATCACCATGACACCAACTCTACTCACCGAGATGGCAGTCGTCTCTGTCGAGATAGCTGCACATTGTTACTGAGTTCATAGTTTTCAGGTTGGAGTCTGATGGGAACAATGGTGTGATGTGATGGCTTCGACGGAGGCTACAGCCTGTGTTCTACCGAAGCCTCGGCATCTCGTCACCAAGTTTCAGGCCCGGCCGTGTCAGAAGAAGCATCGGAAGGTCACCGCCAGAAGCTCTGTAGCTTTCTTCTTGTTCCGAGGAGGTTCCTCCCTTGATCGATGCGCGTTTGGTATTCTTTGGCTTCTTCTGTCACTTGCACGTTGGAGGTACAATGGGAACTCTCTCTCTCCCTCTCTCTCTCACACATCCATTGCTCTTCAAACTAGGGCAGAACCCATCAATTAGGTGAGGCTTCCTGGATGGGGCAATATATGTGTTTCTCACCATTGAACTCTGAGTTTGCAGCTCAAACCAACCATCAAGTTTGACCTCAGTAGAATGACTACTGAGATGGGCTTGGACATCATATGAACCACAACAGTGAAGGTTGTAACGGTTATTATTAAATATCTTATTTAATAATAACGTAACCGTTCTCATTAAGATTCATAATTCATTATCATGAATTTCTTCATTTATTATGGTTTAAATGATTTCAGTTTTTTAATCATTATGCATGAAACCGTTATTATTAAATTAAATATTTAATATCATTAAGTTCTTCATTATGGTCTAAACGTTACAAATTTGAATTAATTCTTGAACGTTATGAGTTGGTGATGATAAATGTTCTTGATGGAAGAACATCTATATATACATGAGGATTTTGGTCCCTTGGCTCAACAATCTCTTTGAAGCGAAAGGGTTTCCTACACCATCTAAAGCGAGAGTTTAGAGCCGAGAAGAACCAAAGTTCAAGAAGAAATCTCTGCAGAAATTCTTGGCGACAATGGCTGGAGGTACGCTATTTCGTTTCCACATTAGTTTTATTGTGTTTCTATTACAATGATTTAGAAACACAAGTTGGCTTCATTAAAATTTCTTACATTTGGTATCAGAGCCAAATGACCTCTGCCTTGATATGAAAAAGTTTTCATTTTTATGCCATGAAAATGATTTGATTTTGGTTTCTTCTTGGAAACTTGTTGATATATATTTTATTGAAAATCATAAAGAAATATCATTTTCAACATTTTTAGTCGGTAAAATGCTCATATTATGTATGCATATTTAGTTATATTAAATTATGTTTATGAG